TCATGCCTTCCCTCCTTCCAGCCTCACATAGAAGCCAAGAATGTGCATGGCTCTAATCCACTATGGTAATGGCATAAATCATTCTACTCACTTCATCAGAGAATACATAGGCCTAAAGAAGTCCCAGATAATGTGGCCAGGATTCCATGGATGAGAATTCTCAAGGGAAAACAATTCAAGAAGCTTGGGAAATTTTGAAAAGTGAGATTATAAAAGCCCAGTCTAGCACAATACCAACAAAGAAGAAAAATAATAGCTCTCAAAAGAAACCAGCATGGCTGCATAAAGAACTCTCTGATAAATTGAAACACAAAAAGGACAAGTATAATAAGTGGAAAGAGGGGTACATAATTAAGGCAGAATATCAGCAAATAGCCCAAGTCTGCAAAGATGAAGTGAGGAAAGCTAAGGCTCAAAATGAACTAAGGCTTGCAATAAAAGTAAAAAATAACAAAAATGCTTCTTTCAACATGTAAAAAACAAGAAAAAAGTTAAGGAAATGATTGGTCCATTAGTGGGAGAAAATGGCAAGGTGACAAGCAACAGGGAGAAAACAGAACTACTCAACTCGTTTTTTGCATCTGTATTTACACAAAGGGAAAAAACAGTCCATTCTATCAAAAACATAAAAAACATATTAGAAACACAAATTAAGATAGGAAAGAAAATGGTAAATGAGCACTTGTCCACCCTAGATGAGTTCAAATCACCAGGACCAAATGGAACTGGCAGATGTGATCTCAGAACCACTGAACTATATCTTTCAAAGATTCTGGAGCACTGGGGAACTACAAGACTGGACTGGAAAAGAACTGATGTAGTTCCCATCTTCAAAAAAGGAAAAAATGGACCCAGGAAATTACAGACCTATCAGCCTGACCTCAATACCTGGGAAGATTCTGGAAAAGATAATCAAGCAATGAATCAGTGAACACCTAGAAGCAAACAAAGTCATTACCAAAAGCCAACATGGGTTTGTCAAAAACATATCATGCCAGACAAATCTTATTGTATTCTTTGACCAGGTGATAAAATTAGTGGACCAGAGGAATGCTGTGGGATATAATTTACTTGGACTTCAGTAAGGCATTTGATAAAGTAGATAACAACCTACTACTTGACAACATAGAAAAATGTGGGTAAGACAGCATCACCACCAGATGAATCCGTAGCTGGCTGACCGGCCATACTCAGCTTGCGGTCCTCAATGGAACTGCATCTACATGGAGGGAAATGTGTAGTGGGGTGCCCCAGAGCTCTGTTCTGGGACCAGTGCTCTTCAACATCTTCATCAATGATTTGGATGAGGGGATAGATGGGGAACTCATCAAATTTGCAGACAACACCAAGCTGGCAGGAATAGCCAACTCCAGTAGACAGGCTTAAGATACAGAAGGATCTTGACAGACTTGAACATTGGGCACTATCTAACAAAATGAAATTCAGTGGTGAAAAAAGTAAGGTTCTACATTTAGGCAAGAAAAACCAAATGCACAGGTATAGTATAGGTGGTACCTTGCTCAATAGTGAGAAGGATCTTGAAGTCCTAGTAGACAATCACTTAAATATGAGCCAGCAGTGTGCTGCAGCTGCCAAAAAAGCCAACACAGTACTAGGCTGCATTAACAGAGGGATAGAATCAAGATCACATGAAGTATTAATACCACTTTACAATGCCCTGGTAAGGCCACACTTGGAATACTGCATCCAGTTTTGGTCACTGCGATGTAAAAAAGATGTTGAGTCTCTAGAAAGAGTACAGAGAAGAGGGAACTGGAGGCTAAAACACATAAGAAACGGTTGCTGAAATTGGGTATGTCTAGTTTAATGAAGAGAAGAATGAGGGGGGACATGATAGCAGCATTCCAATATCTCAGGGGCTGCCACAAAGAAGAGGGAATCAAACTATTCTCCAAAGCACCTGAAGGCAGGACAAGAAGCAACGGATTCAAACTAACCAAAGAGAGAAGCAACCTAGAACTAAGGAGAAAGTTCCTTACAGTTAGAACAATTAATAACTGGAACCTCCAGAAGCTGTGAATGCTCCAACACTGGAAGTTTTTAAGAAGAGACTGGACAGCCATTTGTCTGAAATGGTGCAGGGTTTCCTCCCTGAGCAGGGGGTTGGACTAGATGACCTCCAAGATCACTTTCAACATTATTATCATTATTATTATTATGGATCATCACACAGTCAGCCAGATGTTCAGACTGGATTTGGCATTTTGTCTATCTATCGAGTCCTTACCCAGGACCTGGGATAGGCAGATGTGGATGTTTGATGGTATTACTGATATCGTCACAGGATGGAAGCAGTTCTTAGTAAGGCTGCCTTTTGCAATTGACTAATAGCGAATTTGTCAATGCCAATGGTGTTCAAATGGTGCTCCAGTTGTTTTGGGATTGCACCCAAGGAGCCTATCATTATTATTATTATTATTATTATGGTGGATCATCGCACAGTCAGCCAGATGTTCAGACTGGATTTGGCATTTTGTCTACCTATCGAGTCCTTACCCAGGACCTGGGATAGGCAGATGTGGATGTTTGATGGTATTACAGGTATCGTCGCAGGATGGAAGCAGTTCCTAGTAAGGCCGCCTTTTGCAATTGACTAATAGCGAATTTGTCAATGCCAATGGTGTTCAAGTGGTGCTCCAGTTGTTTTGGGATTGCACCCAAGGAGCCTATTACTATTGGTACTACCCTTGCTTGCTTTTGCCACAGTCTTTCTATTTCTATTTGTAGGTCTTTGTATTTTGTTATCTTCTCCAGTTCTTTCTCTTCTATTCTGCTATCTCCAGGCACTGCCACATCCACTATCCAGACTTTTTTGTCTTTCTTATCGACAATTGTTAAGTCTGGGGTGTTATGTTGCAGGTGCTTGTCTGTTTGAATTCTGAAGTCCCAGAGCAGTTTAATTTTATCATTTTCTATGACTTTCTCTATTTTATGATCCCACCAGTTTTTGCTTACAGGCAAATGATATTTTTTGCAGATCTTCCAATGCACCATTGTTGCTACTTTGTCATGCCGCTGCTTGTAATCAGTCTGTGCAATTTTCTTGCAACAGCTTACCAAGTGGTCCACTGTTTCTTCAGCTTCTTTGCATAGGCGGCACTTACTGTCTGTTGCTGTCTTCTCAATTTTGACTTTGTATGCATTTGTCCTTAAGGCTTGGTCTTGTGCAGCCAGAATTAGTCCCTCGGTCTCTTTCTTCAATTTTCCTGCTCTTAGCCATTGCCAGGTTTTATTATTATCTGCTTTCCCAGCTATTTTTTTCATGTATTGGCCATGTAGTGCTTTGTCTTCCCATGCCTCTATTCTGTTCTTCATTTGGTCTTTCTTGTAGGCCAGTTTGGTCTCTCCAGTAGTTAGTAAGCCTTCCTGATATACTAATTTCAGTGCATCTTCATCATTGTTCTTCAGATATTCTTCCAAAGCCATTTTTTCTTCTTCAACCATCTGATGTACTTGTAGCATTCCACGCCCACCTATTTGCCTTGGTAGATAAAGTCTATCAATGTCACTGCGTGGATGAAGGGCATGATTCATTGTCATTATTTTTCTGGTCTGCCTATCCATTGCTTTTAGTTCTGTATTATTATTATTATTATTATTATTATTATTATTATTATTATTATTATTATTATATGCAATCTTCAGCCATACACTGGAGCATACACAGTCGATTAGAGGAAACAAATTAATAACCTCCAGTGACTTGAGTCCAACTTGTTTCCTTTTTCCTGAAGTGCATATATTACCCTGTTACATATTGCATAATTCCAATCAAGTTAATGAGATTTAAGTAGCATAAATTTATACAGAAGCCTTATAATACACCAATGTATTTAACTTATGAAGATGTTTAATAACTATTGTATATATTTAATAATTAAAGTTATTGAAAACAGTGTACAGAATTATTTCACTTCCCACTTATCCTTATAATAACCCCACATGGTGGGTTAGATTTGGTCATCCCTCAATAAGACTGGCTATGTGGGGAATGGAAACCTGACCTGGTTGCTCTAGGTTTCTACTACACTGATTCTCATAAAATTAATTCAGTCTAATATACTGTTTTAAATTAATGAGGCATTTAAATTTTCTGATTTTTATATCTGATTCCAAAAGTACATTTCATTTGCTTAGGAGGATTCATTGTGTAATTATATATGCAACATTTATAATTGAAGAGAAACCTCGTGTGCAATGGTAGCTTTTGACAAACATAAAACTGTTTTTTTAGTTAAATTACCTTAAAACCCAATCTTACAACTTTGGAAGGGATAGTTATTAACTGCAGTCTCATCAAATATTTTGGTTTTCTTTTAGGAATTGGGAATGTATTGAAAACTCTGCCATTTGAAGCTTACAAGGTATCAACATTTAAACATATTCCTAAGGTTAATACATAAAAGTGTTCCCCGAATAATAGTTTTCCTGAAACATGACACCATTCTGTCTTATTCAATTTTAAGATTGCTAAATATGTTTTCAAGTGATCATCTGAAAAAAGAAGATAGATTTTTTTTTTGCTCTCTTTCCAAGCTAGAAACCTCAATTTATTATTTTACTGAATATAGCTTCCATTTCACAGCATTGGTTTTCCTGAAAGTAGATGATTATTAATGCTTTAAAAAAAGCAATATTTTTGGCTGTGAAATTAACATATTCTATGTCAAGCAAGGAAAGCAATCTTAAAGAAAACAATGTCAAATTATTTTTCTTGCTCATGCTTTATTGCGAAAACCCCTTTGCACTGTGAAATCTACATTTCAGAATTACCACAATGTCAAACAAATTCTTACTTTAGAGCATCTAATACTATTTTTACAGAAATTCCTTGCACATATTATCAACATCGTTATTTTGCTTTGAATCTCTGTTGGTAAAGGAAAAAAAAAAATCCCCCACATAATGTTTTACGGTCTTTCTTGTTCTGTATATGGTAGGCAAGCAAAGAAATCAGATCAAAAAGCAGTGATGCTAACCTTCAGCTTTGTTGTTCTGAGCATTTTCTGATGACATCTTGTCAAAAAATGTTTTGCCACCTTTTGCTTCTGGGTTTCTCACAGGAATGATGGAATGGCTCCCAGGCTGATTTTTAAATGCCCGTGATGGCAAACTTCTTTCAATGTCTACTTCCTGTTGGAAGACATTAAGGGGATGTATATTAAAAGCTATCAGTAGGAAACAGACGTGTGGAGGAGGATGTGAAGAGGTGAGGGAAAGAACAGTAGGTTTCCATTACAAGATTAATTCATGTTTTTGCTATGTTTCAGGAGAAATATCTGCAATACTACAGAGAGTTACAAATCTACTTTTGCAGTCAACTTATATTTCAACATCTAGAGACTGGGCTGAATTTTCACGAGGTATTCTTTCATGCAGTTTTCGCTTTCGCTGCCTTTCCTACAGTAAAATAGCCACAGTGATTAAAAAAGGATACATAAATTTTCTGCAAAACTGTAGCCACATTGTAACTTCTTTAAAAGTTGGATGCATGGGGATACTGACGATCTTCTGATCACGTTTTACTAACAGGCACAGTCAAACCAAACTCCTCTATTCATTTCATCTGGCAGTCACCAGAAGCAGAACAATAATAAAAAGCAGCCCACTAAATAATATAATAGCATTAAATTGGGATTCAAACCCTAGATTGTTGATGCACTAGTTAAAATGAAACAGGAAACATACTGGAACCTTTGGAAAAAGACAGCTCTTTAATAATAAACAAGCTGAGATTACTGCAATTTCAAAAACTATTTGAGGTTACAAAGAAGCTCAGCTGCTAATAATTCTAGATTGAAAATGTTTACTCACCCATTATATAAAGAAAAGATATCTCCCCTAGCACCATGTCACTATGGATACTTTTGGCTGTTTTACATGCTAAAATTAAAGTAATAGGAGCAGAAAACATAACAGGGCATAATTTTAAAAGCACATTTATTGCAGTAATTTTTTTACTAATTCAGGAGGCATCAAATGTATTTATTCTTTCTATGCTGAGTACACATGAGTAATCATAATAGCTAAATAATAGTAATTATATTTACATTGTCTTCTTCCCATAGTGATTATATTGTGCACTAAGCAACCCCATAATAAATAGCAAAATACAGTAAGCATCTTTCTGTAAACCAGCACGTAACAATTAAAACACTGTAAAAAGCTAGAGTTGTAGCTGCAAAAAAAAAAAAAAGATACATAAAGTGAGTTAAGACACCAGTCTAGAAACCAGGGGACTGTGAGTTCTAGATACAAAGTCAACCGGATGACCTTGGGCCAGTCACTCTCACTCTGCCCTAGGAAAAAGGCAAGAGCAAATCACTTCTGAAACCTTGCCAAAGAAAACCTGCAGGGACTAGTCCAAGCAGTGGCAAGGAATCAGCACTGACTTGAAGGCACACATATGGAGACACACACAAACACAAGCAGTTAAAGGAATAATAACAATAGCACTTAGACCTATATACTGCTTCACAATGCTTTACAGCCCTCTCTAAGCAGTTTACAAATGTCAGCCTACAGTCCCCAACAATCTGGGTCCTCATTTTACCGACCCCGGAAGGAGGGAAGGCTGAGTCAACCTTGAGCCAGTGAGAATCGAACTGCCGAACTGGAGGCAGCCAGCAGTCAGCAGAATTAGCCTGCAGTACTGCATTCTCACCACTGTGACACCACAGCTCTTGGAATTTTAGCGTAAGAAATTAGTCATGATCTTAACAGAAGTAGATGCATACATCATTTCTTATAACTCTGAGGGCAATAGACAATAATTCTGAACTGGACAGAAAAGCTACTTCAAATTTTCCCACATATCCAAGGTAAAAATAAAGTAGGACTACATGGCTTGAAGGAAAAAAGGAAAAAAAACTATTTCTTCTACAAGACTACCTCTTCTTATCTAACATGTGAGAGGAATCACATACCTTTTCCTAAATGTGGGAAGTTGAGGACTTTTTACAGTTGACGAGCTAACATCCAATTTGAAGGTATCCCTCTGTTTTTTGTTTTGTTTTGTTTTGTGAGAACTGGACACTATGAATAAGTGCATGAGGTTTTATTATAATTCTACATGGTTGTTTTCTTTAAATTTGTGAGCCTTTTAAAATTGGTTTTGTAGAAGTGGCATAAAAGTTAAGTACATAAACAAACTGTACTGCAGCAGAATTGGTGCAGCTTTGCCTCTCACTACAACAGAGGAAAAAAAATGAATATTTATTTGGTTTTCGTTTGTTTGATTTATTGGAGGCTATATGCTGCTGCAGTCCAGAAGGATTTTGAATGGCTTCCATTCCTTTCTCACAGTGCAGGTTTAATAAAATAACAAAAACTGCAATGAAAAATAAGGTCACTGAGGACAAAATCATCTAAACACAACCTAGGAGGAAGGAAATACGTACGGATGTTCCTTTCCTGGAATGCCTTCCAATGCTATAATAATATGCATGGTCGAATGGGCAAGCAAGCAATTAATACTTGCAATTTATACAAACATCCAAGTAGAATCTAAAAAACAGGCAAAGTAACTGTAACCACATTAATCACTTGTTTCTTATTGTGCCATCCAAAGTGCAAATGAATTCATGGGTTCACAAAAAGAAAATTAACATCCCTTTAGAATACTCTAGGGCAGCTAAGTGGCTCAGCTGTTAAGATGCTGGGCTTGTTGGCTGGAAAGCTGGCAGCCCAGGTTTGAGACCCAAATGCCATGTAATGGGTGAGCTTCTATCCTTGCCCCTGCTCTTGCCAACCTAGCAGTTCAAAAGCAAATGCAAGTAGATTAATACTGTAGGTCTTATTTCGATGGGATGGTTAACAGTGTTCCATGATATCATGCTGGCCACAAGACTGTGGAAATGTCTTTGGACACTGTTGGCTCAATGGCCTTGAAACAGAGATGAGCACGGTGCCCTATAGTCGGCAACGACTAATGAAGAAAAATCTGCACGGATTCATTTACCTTTTATCTTTTTTCAGGGTTGTTAAACTCACCACGTCACGTGACATGTCATGATGTATCACGAGTTTTTCCCCATTGCCGGAGCTGGGATGGGCACAGTTTCATCATGACGCATCCAGCCCACGGGCCGGCGGTTTGACACTCCTGCTCTACTGATTGCTGTTGACTTACACAGAAGAGCAAGAACACAGGGCCAACAGTGACATATGTTGGAAGTTGCAGTTCACCTATATCTATAGTGGGACAGGTTTCCAAGGTTTTAAACTTTCAGGACACTCATCACTCTGGCTGTTTATTATTAGATTTATATGCCACTTTTCTCCCCTATGACTCAAAGCAGTCTACATAATGTTCCCGCCTCTTATTTTCTGAACAAATGCCAAACAAATGCCTTGTGAGGTGGGTTAGCCTGAGAAAGATTAACTAGAGAAGTCACCCAGTCGGCTTTCCTGCCAAAGGGCAGCCTAGAACTTCCAGTCTCCTGGTTTCCAGCCCAGCACCTTCCCCATTACTATACACCAAACTGGCTATGTAGTTTTGGTGAAAAAAGAACAGTGAGGGTGAAAATCATTAGCACTCCAGTAGTCTCCCCTTAATGTCTTAACAGAAATTATATATGTACCTTAAAAGACAAGATTGTTTTTAAGTGACATCAAAAGCCAAACCTTATTTATTTATTAATATCCCAGCTTTATTATTTTTACAAATAAGGTGGCAAACATATCATAGCCGCCGAGGGTCACCTTATCAGGGAGATGAGCAGCATTTAAATAAATAAATAAAATGTCCAACACAGTTTCCTCATCCTGTTTTCCCGGCAACAACACAGTGAGGTGGGTTGGGCTGATAGAGAGAGTAACCGCTCAAAGTCACCCAACTGGCTTTCAAGACTAAGGCAGGACTTGAATCCATAGTCTCCTGCTTTTTAGCCTGACGACCTTAACCACTACACCAATTTGCATGCCATACTTTGGCCAGATGTTTAGCGGAGATTATTTTAGCGTGAAGAAAATAACATAAACACAAGAATAATTAGTTCTTTGTAATGTGCATTGTTTCTCTTTTATCTATAAATTGCCCAGAGTCATTGAGGAGTAGGGTGGTCTCAAAACTTAAATATATAAGGAGTTGGTTCTCCCCTTCCCAGATTAAGCACAAAATACTTTTAAACAATTGTTTGGAATATTAATCATTTTAGGAAAGTATATATACTCCTTCTAAATGCTTTATTTTGAGTGAGGAAAAGCAAAGCATCAAAAAGAACATAAAGCTATCACTTAATGTCAGCTTGTTTTTAAAAGGGATGTTTGTGGGGCATATTCTGATGAGGTCTGAAGTTTCCTGCTGTGGGTGAATGATATGACCACCATCTCATATGCACATTAAAAAACGGTTTCCAATTACTCAAATTTTATGCACTGGAATCATAAGGTTCCAGAAACAGACACAGTGATACAAATTAGCGAGAATGAATGCCAACAAATAATTTTGTTTTACTCGTATCTTAATTGGGCATTATCTGGTAAGGCATCAGTTAGCACCAATGGGACAAAGCTAATACTTTGAGGGTTTTAAAAAACTTAAGTCGGAATTTATAGCAACATTATCAAGTTATATCCATAAGCGATCATGTTCCATTGAATCAAATTTACAGGTGAGTAAATGAAATGCACACCAGGGTAGCATCTTTCCATCACTCCTGGAACGGTTCTTCTACCGGTACTCCTCAACTTATGACCACAGTTCAGCCCAAAATTTCTGTTGCTAAGCAAAAGGTGAAGTGAGTTTTGCCCCATTTTACGACCTTTCTTGCCACAGTTGTTAAGTGAATCATTGCCATTGTCAAGTTAGTAACACATTTGTTAGGTGAATCTGACTTTCCCATTGATTCTGTTTGTCAGGAGGTTGCAAAAGATGATCACAGGACCCTGAGGCACTCCAATTGTCATAAGTATAAATCAATTGCCAAGCATCTCCATTTTGATCACATCACCATGGGGGATCCTGCATGGGTTGTAAGAGTGAAAAACAGCCAGAAGTCACTTTTTTCAGTGTTGTACCTTTAAACAGTCACTAAATGAACTGTTGTAAGTCAAGGACCATGTATACTACATACTT